CCCCCCTCCCCCCCCCCTCGCACAGACAAGGTGGAGGCGGCCATGGAGGCCTTCATGCCGAGCAGGGACTGGCAGCGCCACCTCAGGAGGCGACTGGCGGAGCACAGAGCCACCCTGGCGCCCCTCATGGCCACGTATAGGGCCCGACAGCGAACCGCCGCCACCCCGGGACCGGGGGTGGGGGGACCGGGGGTAGGGGGACCGGCGGTAACCCGGGGTCACGGAGCGGCAGCAGCAGTAGCAGCAGCAGCCGGGAGGGGGGTAGGCGCCGGACCGGCAGGCGCTGTCCTGGGGGCGATGACGGCGGCGGCAGCAGCTGGGGGCCGGCCGGCGGCAGCGGCTGCCGCGGCGGGTTCGCCCGCGGGTCAGGGAATGCAACAACGTAACCAGCCGCACCGCCGGTCGCAGCGGCAGCAGCAGTCGCAGCAGCACCCGCAACAACAACAACAACAGCAGGCGCAGCAGTTGCAACAGCAGCAGGGGGCTCTTGGGGGTACTGGGTAATGGACGCGTAGCACACAATGGGGAGGGAGCGCAGCAGTAGAGGAGGCGGGGGAAGTGACTTGTCAGGATAGGTTAGCAGAGAGTGAGCGTGTGTGTGCGTGTGTGTATGTGCACACGGGTTGGAGTCGTGGGTAGCGGCTGGTGTCGTCCGGGGGTGCATGTGGTGGTGAGGGGTAACGGGCTCCGTGTGAGGAGGGGGTCAGCCGCAACCGCGGTTAGGAGGGAGGGAGGGTGGGAGGGAGGGGGAAAGCGAGGGAAGGGTAAGACGAACCACTGGCGAGTGAAGCAAATACCAGAGATAGACGGATAGTCCAGGAGAAGACAAAGGATGCGGCATCAGGAATATATTTACTAGTGACCAGTGACGACTTGAGTAATAATAATGTTGGCGACGACGTGGCCAGCTGAGTTGCGAGACAGGCAAGGGGGAGGGGAGAGGCAGGGGGGGGATCCACATCCCGTCCTTGATAGCACGGGCGAGAAGGCAGACCTTGATAGCAGCTTAGAGCTTAGAGCTGCTTAGCATGCTGATAACCCCTTCTTAGCATATTAAAGATGTCGCATTTACAAAACATCTACTATAGGTTAGATTTAATGATGTAAGTAAGGCAGGTGCTGGCAGGTGCGGGGCAGGTGTGGGGAAGACTTAAGAGTGCGAGGAGGTTCAGGGCGATGTGTGGGCGATGTGTAAGGGCGGACAGGCGGCAGCTTCGGCATGCTTCGGCTCCGGATAAAACAAGTATGTTAAGGCGTGGCATAGTGACCCTAAAAGCCTCCAGGATTGGTCCCGACATACCGCGGTATAATAAAACCTCGAACCGGAAGCGCCCATATCGACGGAGGGTCCATCACCCTCCGGTTACAATGATAGACCTGCGAGGAGTAGAGTTGAAGCCGCCGTTAATCCGGCAGATTCCGCTGGATGCTGGTGGTGGTGGTGGGTGCTGAATGAACCCGGAAAAGTCACCGACTTCACAGGAAAGCTGAAATGGGTGATGAGATGGACGGATGATGTTGCCCCGAGGCATCGGGGAAGGTAGGGATTGCCAGCAGGCTAGCAGAAATGGGTGAAGCTATATACCTTTCCCCCTACTACACACAATCATAATATGCATTCATGCCCTCATCCAAGCTGACCGAATCTCGGATCTTTCTGTGGTGACAGCTTGCTATCAGTAGCAACAAAAACAGCAGCAACATTGCCCCGCACAATATGGGATGGCTAGGCAGGCCGCAGCCGATTTGCGGGACCGTAATCTGTGGGGTTACAGTTACATCATCAGCGCTGTCTGCACTGGCTGACGCAATGTACGTATAGGCCGTCAAAGGCCATAATAGCTGGACGGTAGCGCGGTGAAACCACGCTCCGGTCCAGATAGCACCAACCACCGAGCAACCAACAACAACCAAGCCCCGGGAATTGTAGGATATCCACTAGGGTGACCAGGGCGCGCAGGATGTCTGCCGGTAGTATAGTGAAGACAACAAGCGAAGATAACATCAGAAACGTAACTTGATGCAAAATGAATTAGTGCTAACAGCAGTAGCAGTGTTTGGGTTAAAACCTTTGTTCGAAGTCGGTAAGCAAGCAAGGTGTATATATAAGGCACACGCACGCAAATTATTACTCAGTATGGTATCTAGACGTCGGCAGTTTGACAATCACGTTTATCACACGTGCTCGCCCCCAGATCGGTCGCATACAGCTCAAATAAAAAGCATCGTATAATGCACCCCCATGAATGTGAATAACCATCCACTGGTTAGATTCATTGTTGCGCTTAGACGCAATTGTGCCTGAACGCAGCACATTTGCCTGAGTGCATGCATCATCGTATCACGCACGCACTACATGGTCAGCCATCCTGCTGCTGTCGGCTGCTCCGTGCTCCATGTTATATGGACCCACAAAAGCCGAAGAATAGGTCAAAATATATGCCCAAGACACTACGCTCCAACCCCGCCCATTATCCCTCAGCCACGCAAACTACAATCCGCACGTGTGCGGTCGTCTTGCGGTATACCCGCATGCACGCCGCCCCACATAAACATTTCCACTTTCCAAAGCGCGCAACACACATACAATCCTTGCTTAAGCGCGCGCACGATTTCGTTTCAGTTGAAGGTCAAGCTGTTCAACAGAGGGTATAACATGTGGTAATTGTCCACCTTGTTTTCAATCGTGGCTGTCAACTGGCCATCATACATGTATACGTGGGCGCAGGTACGAGCCCCCATCACCGCCTAGCTATGCGGGCTGGGCGCGAGGCCGGGGGCTTGGAGGCTGTGGCGATGGCGGCGGCGGGTTTGGAGGCCGGGGGCTTGGAGGCCGGGGGCTTGGAGGCCGGGGGCTTGGAGGCCGGGGGCTTGGAGGCCGGGGGCTTGGAGGCCGGGGGCTTGGAGGCCGGGGGCTTGGAAGGGGGGGAATTGGAGGCCGGGGCCTTGGTGGTGGCGGGGATGGTGGCGGTGGGCTTGGAGGCGGTGGGCTTGGAGGCGGTGGGCTTGGAGGCGGTGGGCTTGGAGGCGGTGGGCTTGGAGGCGGTGGGCTTGGAGGCGGTGGGCTTGGAGGCGGTGGGCTTGGTGGCGGTGGGCTTGGTGGCGGTGGGGATGGTGGAGGCGGGCTTGGTGGCGGGGTGGGTGGTGGTCGGGGGCTTGCAGGCCGGGGCGATCCTGGCCGGGGGCTTGGAGGCGCAGGTGATGGTGGTGGCGGGCTTGGAGGCGGGGGTACTGGTGGCCGGGGGCTTGGAGGTTGGGGGCTTGGTGGCGGAGGTGATGGTGGTGGCGGGCTTGGAGGCGGGGGTACTGGTGGCCGGGGGCTTGGAGGTTGGGGCGCTTGGTGGCGGAGGTGATGGTGGTGGCGGGCTTGGAGGCGGGGGTACTGGTGGCCGGGGGCTTGGAGGTTGGGGCGCTGGTGGCGGAGGTGATGATGGTGGCGGGCTTGGAGGCGGGGGTACTGGTGGCCGGGGGCTTGGAGGTTGGGGCGCTGGTGGCGGAGGTGATGGTGGTGGCGGGCTTGGAGGCGGGGGTACTGGTGGCCGGGGGCTTGGAGGTTGGGGCGCTGGTGGCGGAGGTGATGGTGGTGGCGGGCTTGGAGGCGGGGGTAATGGCGGCCGGGGGCTTGGAGGTTGGGGCGCTGGTGGCGGAGGTGATGGTGGTGGCGGGCTTGGAGGCGGGGGTAATGGCGGCCGGGGGCTTGGAGGTTGGGGCGCTGGTGATGGGCTTGGAGGCCTGGGGGATGGTGGCGGGCTTGCAGGCCGGGGTGGAGGCGGTGTTGGCGGTATCCGGACCGTCGAGAAGTAGACTCGGTCACCTGCGACAAGTGCAGATACTTGCTCCTCAGTAAGACAGCTAACCGGGCAACTTGGGAATAGCTGGAGAGGGCAAAGTGAGAGAGGCCATCGCATTCGGGCATCCGGGGTTGCGCCGTCAATGAGCACATCTTCTCCTCCCGCGTGTTGTTTCCAACACACAAACAGCAAAAGCCCTTTTCCTGGCTCGCCGCCCTCCACGGCGTGCTGCACAGTCGGTAGTGGTTGGGAAAACTTCGCCTCAAAAGATACTCACTACGGCAATACGATGGGGTGAGAACCGGAGAGCAGTATTGGTATGGCTCGTCCATGAAGGATGGGCACGTAGGCGACACCATGCACCTGCATGGGTTCGGGTATGTGCGTGGTTATCATATGGTCTGTATACATATAGGGGGTGCGCAAGTAAATTCGATTGGCATAGACACACGATCCATCCGCCGTAAACTGATAAAAAAATAATAGGAATACGTATACGGCGATCTCGCATGGTGCTTTAAAATTCCGCTTGCAGCTACGGCTTGGTGAAATACATACAGATGCGTGCCTGCTGCCAACATAGGCTCAGCCACCTATCATAAACATAAAACTATTGGCAGTGAAATAGTTTTAACATGAACGTTTTAGCATGAGCGATCAACGTATGAATAAAACACGTACAGAAGGCCCCCATCCCACAACACCTCGCAGCAGACAGCCAGCCTGCTGGAAGATGTGCAATTATATGGTGGCACGCAAGCATGTCCTTTAGGTGTACTCCGGCCTTGATCATGCGTATCAACACCTTTCAAAAAAAGAAAAGGAAAATTCAACCACGAGACGCCGACGATAGCCCTACCAGAGTTGGCTGTCCCCATCGGGATTCGAACAGTAAGATGTGTACGCGGCGTAATCAATGTCAGGGACGGGCCAGGTGCTCCGACACTCGCAGCCACTGTATGCAACCTGCAGGGATCCACCAACATACATGAGGTTATCAATGTTGTGCATGTAGTCAAGTGCAGCAAAGTGCCACCGCCGTTCATGGCTGAACAAGTGATGTCTGCAAGTGTCACAACTGGGGTGCTGGATGGTGTGATAAATCGTAGAAATGACAATGTGTGCAAGTGTCACAACCGGGACGAAGTGCGAGGTAGCACGGTGCTTATGGGCGATCTGGCAGCCCTTGAGCCCTCGGCTCGCATTGGACGGTTTGCAGGTACGGGGAACGCATCCCCACGACCATATAACGCACGCACACACGCACACACACACATTCACATCTGGGATAATGGGCAATTCGGTGTAAAGCCCAACACGAGGCCACGTTCGCACTTGAGCCACGGGTACTGCCACATACCTTACAGGCGTCTGGTATCGCAACTGGCGGCGGCGGGGGCGGGAAGGGTGGCGGCGATGGCGGTGGTTGGGCTGTTGACCCGGATAGGGGTCGTATCTTGCAGACCGTCGGCGTCGCGATATCTGCACGTGTGTATGCGACATGAGTGCACATGCGGCGGCGGGGTGCACAGGAATTAGCAGCATGCAGATAATAAGAAGCGGATACAAGACTGACCACCTTTCTGGTGGTGGTGATGATCACCATCAGCTGCAGGAGTTGTGCACGCGTACCTTCCTTCTTTTTAGCGCGCACCGTTCCGACACATACACAGACATAATGCATGCGTATGTGTGTGATGACAGGCATTGTACGTACATTTAAAACAAAAACTTCCATTCGTGATCCTTCCCTCCTTACCTACCTATGCACTTTAAGATGCATCCAGACAGGTTGCTGCAAGCTGAGCACGTTGCATAATTCTGTACCTCGCACCTGCGAACACATGCAGCAGCAGCAGCCGCCAGTTAGCATCGTTAGTTTCCGAATAAAATTAGCCACGAAGATAGATGAGCATATGTATGCTCCCGCCATATGGCACTGCCCTGCATCATGTGCCGGTGTGGCACTCAGTCACGTGGTACGGCTGCAGGCGGCAGTAGTTATCAGGATCAATGGATTAATGCTCACCATAACTGATCAGAGGTCGCTGACAGCTGACCGCAGTACGAGTACGACTGGCCCCCAAAGGTCCAATTGCTCTTGCACGGACAATCCGTAGAAGTGACCTGCACGCCCGGCGTATGCGTAGGTTTGCCCGGGCTCATTAATTTGTTCCAAGCCAATGGAAGTGACCGGGTTGCATCCACGATGGTGTGATGATCGCATCTATATCGATAGTTTTGTTTGTTTCGTTCCGGGCAGGTATGCAATAGAGGGGCTTGCCAGACGTATTTGGTGATTTTCGAAGCGCATGGTTGAATGCATGACCAAGGCAAATAGGCAGCAAACGCACACACACATATATGCATGTGGGTCCCCAGCCGTGCGTAACTACAGCACAGGCCGCTAGGATTATTTGCAGGTTTCCACACTACTACTGTACTCCACACCCGCCACATGGGGCCACATAGGGCCACACGTGGGGCCACTCAAGCAAGGAAATACACAGTGCCGAAGTACACGATGATATAGAGCAGTCCACAGCCGAACGAGCACACACGCGCACACAAATGCCATGTAACCAACACAGTACACACCCACACATACACACGCGCACACGCGCACACACCCACACACGTCTATGTGGACACACAAACCTCACTTTGCAAATATCCATTGAAACATCCGGAGGTGGGGACGCCCTGGGCGGTGGAGGGGCTGCCCGGGACGCGTAATATTGGCCCCACGCATACAATACGGGGTTCAGCTCCGCCGTCATGTAATGCGCCCGTTGCGCCTGGGCCGCTGTGAAATGCCCCAGCGCCGCGAAGCAGATGGGGGCGTTGTACGTCATGTAGTTGCCCAGCTCATCATATCCGGGACTGCCGGGGCAGGTGTCGGCCCAGGCGTTCTTGTCGGCGTCCGGGATGCCAAGACGTGAACCCATTCGCTGGTAGGCCAGGTCCCACCGCCCGTCGAGCTGCGCCCAAAAGATTTCCAGACAGTACTTTATAGCCATCGAGTAGATTGACGTGTAGTAATCGACCGACCCTGTATGTCGGGGGGCGGTACAGCAAGGGGCAGGAAAAAGAAATATGTACTCAAGCGGCGGCACTAACCCCGGCGATTATTAACGAGGGGACCGGCGAAAGGTTAAGATTTGGGAATGCTATACTTATCACCAATAATATCTTGTTCTCGCAGGTATCCGCCCGCGGCCGCTGTTCGCGTTGCTAATCCCCCGCCCTGGCAGGTAATTGGATCTTCTACCAATTTGCTGGTAAGCTGGAGTTCGCCGTGATGGTTTGTTCAAAGGACTGGTCGTGAGCTTCCCGGCTCGCAGGTCGATGTGGCATCCGAGTACATGCCACATCGACAAAATCTTACAAAACCTTGTAACTTGACAAAAGATGAACTCACCAAAGGACACCGGTGTGTCGATAACGTAGTCATCATCGCTGCAGGTGTAGGAGCTTGATGTGCCAAATGGGTGTTGCAGCCCGAGATGGTGGAAAGTCTCGTGAAGGAGCGTCAGCGCCCCGTCGTTGTAGTACAATGGGGAATTGAATCCAGAAGTGGAGACGGAGTCCCAGGTGAGGAAAACCAGACCCCCGGTGGGGTACAAATCCGAACTGCGTCGTAAAGGGAATCCCTCAGTCAAAATCGGTAAGTTTTATAAATAAATAAATAAATAAATAAATAAATAAATTTGTATTAAGTTATGTATAATAAGTCTAGTCCGTCGGGCATTGCATTAGACGGCACATCCACGTACAGAGGCGCATATGTGGACATCTAGCTGAGCCCTAGCCGAGCTGATGCAATCGTTCCCACCGCCGGGCACATGCATATACGTGTCAGCGCGATGACATCATGCATGTACGGTCATACCTGTCAGACCACGCCCGCATGCACCCTACCTAGCAAACTATTTCATGTACAGCTCACTAGACCATGAAGGACCGGGTAGCGCACGGGAAGAGTTATAACGTTAACGCAGCGCCAAAACCCGAAGACCTATCTAGGGTTTATTTCCTTGGACCCCTACTGCCCGCCATACGTAGGCACGCCTGAGGACGAGGTTTCCTTGTCTACAACAATCGGGAGATTCCGTCTGATTTTACTGATGGATTACCTACACCCGTATTAGCTGTGCCAGGTCTATAAAATACACCAAGTTGTATTTTACCGGGGAAGCGTGCGTAGGAAGCGATTGACAGATATACATTCAAGGGCGGGCGCTACTCGCTCGACTCACGAAGGGACGTATGCGTAGCCAAGGGTCGTATCCCCCGAGGCCGTGTCGGCGGCCACGAAAACGTTGATGCTCCGAGGCCAGTCGGACACAAGCCTGTTGCATACATACATACATAAGAAACACGTGTACATACACACCTACGTAAACATAGATGGAAGGTATGCACATACACACACACACACGTTGTAATAGCTGGCCTCCAAAAGGCCTTTTCCTCTCGGGATGCTGGCAACGAGCTTTTGCACGTGTTTATACGATCAGCTGTCGTAAAAGTTGCCGTACTGTACGATAGCTACGACACACGTAACAGGTGCATGCATGTGCCTTTATGAAGGTCTTGCAGGCTTGAATTGCATATAAAGCTACATCTAGTCAGTTAGTAACGTCAGCGCTATCCTTTCATGTCAGGTATTCATCATCAGACATACAGACATACAAGTAACAGCGACTACGTATATCGCACTACTTACGAAGACACGGTAGGGTCGTCGTTAAGGCAGCCGCTGTCCTCGCAAAATGGCACATCGAGCCACCTGCTTCGGTTGCCCACAAGGAGACCTGGGAACCGCGTGGCGTTGTTCCGGACCTCCTGCACACGCACACGGTACAACCGGTCATCACACCATTCATGACTTCGGCATAACGGCAGTCGCAGCAGCAGCAGCAGCAGCAGTGGGGACCCCCAGATGCAGAAGTGGGTTTATAAAAAAAAGTAATGCCGACATACACGCCCAGATAGAACGCCCAGATCGTTTCTTGCTTCTAATCAGTTCAGTATACCGTATTTACTCTTTCGCCAGTATACCGTATTTACTCTTCCGCCAGTGATCAAATTGAGGAGGAGGAGGAGGAGGCTGCGTGCACTCCACCCTAAGTTGTGTTTCGCCGTCCGGGGCTGCTGCGCGATGTTCTTTCCCCTTATTTATTGGTCACCCCCCTCCTCCACGCACCCTTGATTGCCACTTGCCACTTCAACTATCATCAAAATGCACCCGGTGGTGATCAACATGCACAGATGACGGCTGCTTGTGGCCTTCAATTATCTAATGTATCACATGATAACGGCTCTCACTTCATTCACACCTAGCTCACCTTGACAAAGAACCCGAAGTTTGTCGGCTTCGACATCAAATTCACCAAGTACACCATCCGATCAATGAACTTTGGCGCCTGATCATACTGCGCAGGTCCGATCGTGCCGTCCTTGTTTCTGTAAAGCATGACGTGGAAGACGAGTGGGATCAACACGGGCGGCACAGTGGCCGGCGCAGCCGGGGTAAACCCGCCGGTAGGCAAAGTGTAAATCCTGTTGCTGCTGCTGCCAGTTTGCTGCTGAAGCTTCCGACGGCCCCGCAGCGCCAAGGCACCGCCACCAACGGCAGCAACAGCACCATCGCCAGCAGGTGCGGACAGCCCCCCTGACGGCTGGCTAGCCACCACGGCGCCCGCAGAGGTCGTCGAGTTCTCTCTGGTTGTAGAGGCCAACACCGGGCCATCATCGCGGCGATGCTTGACTGCCTTAGGAAGGGGGCGGGAGTCGTCTTCACCCCGCGCCTTCGAGTCCCAATGCGCCCGATGCAACTTGCTTGTAACGTTCTGAAGCAATGGCAGGTCCGCATGCAAGTCGGCGAGGACGGACGATATGTTTGGGACCAGGGCCGCAAAGTCGGCCGCAGCCAGGCCGCAGCTGGTGTTGAGCAACAAGGCCGTCTCACTGAGGCCGTTAGGCGGCAGCAGGGCCTCCGCCACTGCCGCCGACAGCTTGAGCGCGGGTGTCTGTGACATGTCGGGCCACGCGGCGGAGGCCAGAGGCTGCCCGGGGACCTCCTGCAGCCGCAGGGGGATGTTGTCCCGGACCCAGGAAAAGGTAGCACCCAAAGACTTGTACAAATCGTAATAGCAGCCCTGCATCGCGATCGAGTCGGCAGGAAAGGCAGTAAGTAGTTGGCGGCAGGCAGGTAGGCAACCAAGGCAATGAATTATCTTTTACCATATTAGGGTACCATGGACGGGTTTGCTCGCGCAATGTTATCACACGCACAAAGGAGGTTGAGTTCATTCTGGTAACCAGCGCAGCAGCAAAGTAATCCACAGCCAATTTACAACCCGCATAGGTTTCCCTTCGCTGCAGGACTACTACTCCACTTGCGTTTTGCGTGGTCAAAATCCGCTTGCTGTGCACATTCCAAACACGCACGACATAGACGATTCGTGCTCGTTCGCCTCCCGGGGAATGCCGGGCAGTCATGAGGCAAAAGCATGTGAGGAAGGAAGAAAGTCCACCACGGATTGGTCGCCGAGTGCGTTTGTGTATTGTGTATTGTGTATTGTGTATTGTGTATTGTGTATTGTGTATTGTGTATTGTGTATTGTGTATTGTGTATTGTGTATTGTGTATTGTGTATTGTGTATTGTGTATTGTGTATTGTGTATTGTGTATTGTGTATTGTGTATTGTGTATTGTGTATTGTGTATTGTGTATTGTGTATTGTGTATTGTGTATTGTGTATTGTGTATTGTGTATTGTGTATTGTGTATTGTGTATTGTGTATTGTGTATTGTGTATTGTGTATTGTGTATTGTGTATTGTGTATTGTGTATTGTGTATTGTGTATTGTGTACAACCTCGCAACGCCGTTCTAGTGCCAAAACCCATACGCACCTGCAACGTTGGGGATGATCCGTACAAGCTCCAAGACAGAGAGTACATGTTTCCGACCACGGCGGACGTCCTACGCGACGGCTGTGATGTGTACAGCTTCAAGATGACGGGTGTCAAGTACGGCAGTAGTGCATTGGAGGACGGCGCTGCAGATTAATAGCCGACAGGGGTACGGGCACCAGGCCAGCACCAGCAGCAGCAGGAGGAGGAGGACACGAGAGGGGTTTGATTCGCTGGCGAGCGAGATAGGGGCCATGCATGTGATTTGTGGCATGTCTCATGTATGCGCGTCGACGGCCAGTGACAATAGGCGCGCAAGCACTCGGGCCAAAGCAAGAAGCATTGGTCAGAAAATCGAACCAGGCACGCGAGTGATGACCTGCATGTATAACCTGCCTTCTGTCCGTTGCAACTGCGACATTGATGCTGGTGCGTGTACTATCCACAATCCTATTGCGATGAAGCGTATGCATGGTTACTGAAGACCACGACCTAGATAGAGCTTGCTCGAACAAAACTGACGCTGCCTACATACATACTATATACAGCTATACCACCCTGTAACAACAGCATACATACATATTATTCGACCCGTATGCGCATGCAACCCCTGCAACCCCTGCAACTGCAACCCCTGCAACTGCAACCCCTGCAACTGCAACCCCTGAAACCCCTGAAACCCCTGAAACCCCTGAAACCCTCGTCGCGGGCTGCTATTGCGAAATGTGCACTGACAGGCGAAGATCCCTAGGAGGAATGGGCTGCTATCGAACAGCTGCACGTAAAATAAAGATTGGTAGATGACCCGAAGAACTCATTGAATCCTGCCTTCAGCAAGCGAAAGCGGCTCCGCAGCCGCGAACAGGTAATACGCAATCGAGGACACGTTAGTTGCCTGCTCGTAGAACGTCTGAACATCAGCGCTGCTGGCGTGCACCGTATCCTTCAGCGCGAGGAAAGCCCGCTGTTGCGTCGCTGCTTTCCGTTGCAACGGCAAATCTGCTGCATGTATCCAAAACCACGGGCATTCAATTATTGAAAAAATAACACATCCGAAAAGAAGTACAGAAACCAGGATTGTTGAAAACATACCGGCCAGCAGGCCTCTGTCCCTCCGCGAGGCGTGCGCAATGTGAGAATTCCCGCCAAACAAGGCGACTAGGAGAACGATGACGCGAGCAATGCTAGTAATGACCGTCATTCTGACCGTCAAGGACTGATGAGTAGGCAGGAGTTATAACAAAAATTGCTTCATACCAGTCTGTTTTCTTCAATAAACAACAGGAATGGGAGCCAAAAGGTTTATGCTAGATGTAAGCACGGCGAGACCGCCGACTACTCACGCCAAGTGGATTATGCTATCCTCACGCTTTGAACTGTATTTTATAGTTCTCGTCAGTATCCAGCGCTACAGTGTCGTCTAATCATGTACGGCACGGTTTCGCCCAGGCAGGTTTTATCAAGGGTTTTGTCCTAACCTGAAGGTGCTCGCTGCTGCAGGGAGTCACACGTACGTAGATTAATTCACTCTTACTAACGGAAATGCATTCAAAGTATTGTTCAACAGGTCATATGCACGCCAGTATGCAGTTTACCCTGTAAAACCCGGATGCGTAATGACGAACTGTCTAGAACCCTACACCCTCAAAACAGGCGGTTTTGCATCTGAGGCGTGCGCGATAACAGTTCCTGCTGTAAATACATACATACGTGTATTGGTGTGTATATTTGAAGCAGCTGTATGAATCTGCCGCGCGCTGCTGGGTTGGGAGGCCACCATATATGGGGCCACCAGGCGTGCATCGAATTGCATGACGCTTGCTTCATTTTCCTGCTCTTGTCAAGTTGCTCGCACAAATACGCAGCATCACGCAGTGGAGCCGCCTTGAAGTCATTAACCAAAGTTGACGAGGTGTGCCAAGGCGGCGATAATGCAAACGTGTGGCTGGCGGTCGTTCACGGACTTCACTTATCACTTATCCCGAT